AGAAGAAGATAAGTAGGGGGAGGGGGAGGGGAGAGAGAAATTGAAAGAAAAGATAGGAGACGAGTTAGCAGACAAATCAGCGGAGGAAGGGATAATAGAAGAAGAAGAAGGGAAGAAACTCGTGGAGGGAGAAGAACAAACACAATTAAGAGCAATAGATCTTGCCACTTTCCTAAAATTATGGAGGTAGTTAGCCACAGACTTATTYCTASKWCAAACTATTTTCAACCGTCTGCAAATAACATCCCGTAAAGATTTTCTTACAGCAGAGCTCCGAACAGTCTTAACACAAAGTTTCCTTCTGTTTTGATTTGGATAGGGCTGCATCGAACGGAACTCAAATAATAGGTTTAATTCTAATATTAAAATTGTACTTTGACCGAAGTACTCTAGCGATCACACTACGCAAGGTATTCCTACTGTCCTTTCTTGAAAACGAGCGAATGGTGGAGTAGTAACCAAGCAGTTCGTCCAACCCACATTTGTACAGGCTCTTGTGTGAAGATGGATTGGACAGAATAGGAATCAGGGCTTTCTTTGTTTCCAAGAACTTGCAGCAGAACCTAGTAAGCCCGCTGAACTCCAAAACCTGTCCASGGGCGAACCACTCTCTTCAAGATTTCAACAGACAAGTCCCGGCGTCGGACTTCACCACAGTAGATCCATACCTTCTTCTAACTATCTTCCATCTGTCACATAATACCACACCCCCTGAACATTTTACCGAAAAAGACGTAATATGCTTCTCAAATGCCTCATCCAAAATAGTACCCAATGATATTGACGACGTACCGAATGAGGATGCAAAGCTTATCAATGCAGCCTGTCTCCTATTACTATTATTATTATTATTACTCTTATTATTGGACATATTTTTCTTGGCTTTACCACACTCCCTCTTACCTGGTCGGCTCCTCCTATTACTATTGCACCTAGACTGCCCTGGACTATTCAAAAATGGAGAAAATGAACGAATAAAGAATCTCTCAATTGTCAACAAGTCGTGCACAGGAGGGTTCGCAATAGGAACTGCGACGTAATTCTCGATTCCATATCTCCTGACCCATCAATACAACCTGTGATTCCTCAAATTTGTATCGTTTCCTTGATACGCAGCCCGCTGTACATGCTCTTTCCATCGTACATCCAACGAACGCGAACTACATCCTACATACGTATGCCTACACCAAGGGGAGATAAGGGCATACACTACGGGACCGGGACAGCTACAGAAATCATAACCGAAGTCTGACAAGGCAGTGATATAGGAGGCAAACTTGTTTCCCCACGGAAGAGCGGACGAGAGGATAAGAAGAATAACCAACACACGGAACAAAGTGTTTAACTTATCACGAGTTACACCTCCCTTGGATCGTCTGAGCGAACTGACATCAGAGAGGAGAGAGTAAATACGACCAACGCTCGGAACCAAACTTACGAAGATTCAGAGTTAGCGTGGTCATCTGTGGAAGTAGCAGCTATGTCAACCGACTCGATCTCTTCCTGATCTTCATCCACATRCTCTTCTTCTTCCTGTTCGCTAATAAGCCTACGATTGGTAGGACGATSGAATGCACTGGCCGTGTAAATATCCGCCAGGTCGGCTGCACTCTTCTTGACCCCAGCATAGTCAATTTCTTCATCGGCACACAACGCCTCCAGTTGTGCCTTCCGAAGCTTCGCAAGATCATTGCTGACTCTCTTGTAAAACGCCTCTTTCCCTTCGTCAATCTTCCTTACAAACGTGACCTTCACATGGTCACCTTTTTTCGAAACCGGGCTACCACCTGCCTTACCGCTCCTTCTCTGTACCAGAATTCTTCTCTTCATACTTGATGGTGAGGCGATTTTTATCGGGTTGATGCGTTCCTTTAGCGCAGATACCTCACGCTCCGCCATATCCTTTTCATCCCGAACTCTTCTGTATGCCTCTGTCAACCTCGCCCATTCAGCCGGTGTTTGACAACCCTCCTCTTGTCGAGACTTCCCTCTCACTGGTTCGGCCGGCGGACTTTTTTCAATGACCGCCTCCGCGCTACGCTTACTTCCCCGTTTTAAATTCTCGACCTCGTCCCTCAAAACAATGATGTCGTGAATGAGAGCTTGATTGTCGGCTTTGAGAGAATCCAATTCTCTACTCGCTTTCCCAGTAGGCATCCTTAGGAGATCCTCATTTTCTATCCTCAGACGCTCCAATTCGTCGTTTCTGCTCTTCTCCAACTGTTCTCTGGCCGCCGCATCTTCTCGTCGCCAGCGGTTCTCTTGTTCTTTGCGCTTCGCTTCGTYMTGTCTGCAGACCTCATGCTGCATGCCCTGACCAAGCCTCGAAGAGGATGCTTGGCTCGTAACCGCCTTCTTCCCCATTACCTCATTACAAACTTCCTTCATGTTTTCCTTAACCATTTTTCCGAGAGACTTCTCAAATTCTTCCCGCTCTTTCTTTGCTTTGGCACGTTCCTCCTCCGCAGCTTGAATCCTCTTCTTTTCTTCTTCTTCCTTCAATTTCTCCTCCGCAGTGCGTTTYTCTCGCTCTTTTTCCTCCATGGTCTCGGAGTACCATCTCCATACCTTATCGATCTTCTCATCTTTTGCCCTCTCCCAATTGTCGGCCCACCAACTGTTCCTTGGCCGCTGCTGGTAACTCGACCGATTATACCCGCCACCATACCCTTGGTTGCTGCCGTACCCATGACTCTGATTACCGTAACCTTGAGCAGCGCCTTGACTTGAACCATTCCGGTTACCATCGTTCYGACCTTCGTTCGGTGGTGGCCTGTACGGCACGATTGCGTTTGGAGCCGGAAGGAATCCTCCGTTGTCTTGAGGGGMCGCTGCTCTGTGCTGGTCGCCTCCATTRCCGCCTATCATAGCGGCGACATTCGGGATATGCCGAAGCTGACAATCCCTAACAAAATGACTGGGTTGCCTACAATGGTGGCACACTCGGGAACCACTGTAACTGATGACGAAAATACGAGATCGATAAAGGACGGAAGATATATTAGTCAACAGTGAGTCAAGAATCCAAAATACGACCGGAATTGCACGCCCACAAGAGGTAATGCAGTACCGCAGTACCGGTCCAGGCGTAACCACACAACCGTAGTGTTCTGCTACGTAGGTTATTACGTGTGTTGAAGCAATGTTACAGATGCAGGACAGACTAAGGGGGGGAGAAAAGACGACGCGGTACAATCCAAGCGCAGGTGCGCATTGTTACGATCGAAATGAGTGAAACAACAATGCACGGCGGCGCGACCCGACGCCGCGTTTGGACCAGTCGCCAGCTGGTCTTCGTCAGGGGTCAAGACCTGG